TACGGTCCTGCGACGCCATCGGTGCCATTTCGACAGACATCGTCAGAGCAAGAATGCATTCTTTGCGTAAAAGAGGCAAAACATGCTGAAGCAAGAGAAGTAGTTGGCCGGCTGTGACAACGTATCGCCAAGGCATTCTTCTAAATCCAGTTTTTCTTCATAAGAAATAAATATGATCCATCTTCTACATGGTGGGCGAAGCCTAGAATGTGTATGGGGAAAGTGAATTAAGAGATGATATTAAAATAAATACTGTATCAATGAGAATGTGTTGGATAATGAGGCACAGATGAAATAAAGTAGTATTACTCAGTAGTGCGCCAAGTAGAAGAGGAAATATGTTGCATTTGGAACAAGCGAATAATGACTTATAAATGCAATTTTAATTTTTCTCCCCTGAATTGCATTCTCATTGCTTCGTCACTTTCAAACGAAATTAGGTGAATGCTGTTTCTTTTTTCCCTTTTTCCTTTTTCACCTTTTTGCCTTGCCTCATCCCTTCGCGTCTGATGCATGCCAAACGGCAATTGCCGATCCCGATTTTCTTTTGCTTTCTTCCCCATTGTTGCCTTGGCAAACGCCACGAATCGCCGCCCCCCTTTCTCCTTTAGGCCCTACAACGTCGTCTCGTCGACAGAGTGCGTCCGAGTCGCTGTGGCGACCGTTGGCCAAGCAACCGGCGCTTTCGGCCGGAGCGATCCGCGAGACGGCGTTGACACGTCGTCGGGCCGAATTGTCGCGCCAAATGACGCAATCTCGAGGCCAGTCGACTTCGGCGACGGCGACGGCGACGACAGCCACGACTGCTCGGGGTCTCGTTGCCAGCGCTCGACGCGACGCGTCTGGCATCTCAGCGCCTGCTTCCGCCTCGGAGACCGGAAGCGCAGACTTCAGGCCGTCAGACGTTGCCAGGCGCCGTTGTCCCGTCTCCGAGCCCATCCTCCCTCGGACGCCTCACTCTCGGCTCTACCCTCCGCGCGGTCGTACCAACCTCGCCGCTCGGACCGGCAACAACAGCCCAGCAAGACAGACGGTCATGCCGTCGTCAAGAGCCATTGGAGCTGGGCAAACCGGGCCGAGTGGCCGTGGCAACCGAGCCAGCACAGCGCCGTCTACACCACGTCTCAGCATGGTGCCTGAGCATGAGTCGACCTCGAGTCGAGGTGAATGCAACCAAAGAGTCGAAGGTCACGAGCAGCGCCCTGCATTTGGGCATCAGCTTTAGCTCGTCTCAACTTTATTGCTATGCATTCATTTCGTTGGTCACCATTTAATACCAGACGCATCTTCATGTGACGAGCATAATGTTGATGCTGATGCTGATGATGATTGGTGGAGGATGCTGGTGGTGTTGATGATTATGATGATGATGATGAGGAGGAGGAGGAGGAGAAGGAGGGAAAAGATGATATTGCTTTTAATGATGAGACGGATGACAATGAGGATTGTGAAGATGGGGAGGTGGTGAATGTGATGATGAGCAAGCGGAGGAGTAGAAGAGGGATGCGGAAGTGCAGGAGGAGATGGTGATTTTTACGAAGATAATAGAAAAGAAGCGATCGTGGTGGTGAGGAGTCTGTTGTTGATGTTGATGTGGATGCTGATGTGTGTGATGAGAGAAGGGAGGAGGAATCTGATGTTGATGTCGATGATGCCAGTGAGTAGAAGGAGGAGAACTTTGATGATGAAGTGGAGCGTAATGATGAGAAAGTGGATATGATGGGTGGTGATAGGCAGAAGAATAAAGAAGGAAATGATGAGGTGAAAGGGGAGGGTGATGATCATCAAAGTGGAATAGGTGAAGGATAGTAGTGATAATTATGATGGTGACGATAAGAATGGTAATAGGGTGTTAATGATGCGAATGGATGCTTGTGATGTCGCTGTTGTCGTTTATGCTAAGGATGATGTCGATGATGATGATGAGGAGGAGGAGGATAAGTTTGAGCAGGTGGTTGGCAGGAAGTGGATGGCGATGATGATGCTGATAACGAGGTAGAAGAAGGGTTAATACTGATGATGATGATGATGATGATGATGATGATGATGATGATGATGATGATGATGA